GCAAACTTACGTTGCTTAGAGGGGCATTCTAAATTCAATTCCATATCAAAGTAACGCTGGTTTGTCAAATTTCCCAGCACTATTACAAAGAACAGACTGAATAGAAATTCCCTATGCACTTCTAATTTGCAAACAAAATAAAGATGTTTACAGTTATGTCGAGCAGTACATTAAGATCCGAACAAAAATAATATCTAATAAACAACATAATTTACATTTGACTTTTCTCCTATACCAACAACAATTACCCTGACTTAAAAACCAATTTGTTCCACTGTTGTCCATCTTTATGGCACAAGTAGTTCTACATTAAACATATCATCATTCAAAGAGATATTTTGAAACAAATCATTCACGAAAAATCACATTGAAACACCGCAAAAAAACTCCCTTTAATTGACAGGGTTAAGCCATAAAGATNAGACATAAAGATATTCAAGTAAATAACTATCTTTGTTCTCTCTCTTCTTCTTTCTAAAAAAGTCAGAAACAGAATCTGCCCAACGTGTCATTGAAGCCTAACAAAAATTTATACTCCAAGCACTTCAAAGACTAATAATTAATGGTAGACACTTTATTCAAGACCTTACCTTTCTTTCTGGGTCTGTCCTCTTCTGCTACTATTATCCCATAAACGTGTCTTATATCTACCAGTCCGGCTATGCCTGCAGAAACCCAGCAGTATGTTAAAGCGAAAATTCTAGCATGGAACTTTTTTTTGGACTGTATGTAAAGAAAAAAGAACCCAACAGTATGTTAGAATCTACAATATATTTACAAGGGTTTGTATGGTGAAATCAAGAAAATTCATATACATACAACATAGATACAGATACAGATAGATAATAGACAAATAGTGATCTTCAGATGGGTTGGCCAGTTGAGCTGCCAGTGGATTCTCCTCGCTACCTTGTATGGCAAAATGAAGAAAATACATATAGATATAACACAGTTACAGAGAGAGAATAGCTAAATAGTGACCTTCAGATAGGCTTGTCGGTTGAGCTCCAGCGGGGGTGGATTCTCTTTGCTGCTCATATCGTTTTGGAGGGACCGATCTCCATGTGAGAAAAAGGGAAAGGAAGGAAGAAGAACGGGTTCAAGACACCCCTTCACAAATTCTAAGATTTCAATAATTTTTATGGAATAAAAAAAAAAACCAAATCACCGTTAATACAAGCATGACAACAATGATAAAGATCGAGCAGCTCAAAATATACAATTAAAAAAATGAAGACGACAAATTTACAACAAAACTTGCCTGATATTTACTGTAAAAACATAGTGAAAGAGAATGAACAGTCTATTCCATTATAGAGACATACTTTTAATAGTAGAGAACCCATGTGAGCAACAAAAAATTAGAATTAGTGCATCTTATGAGTAAAACTATAAGAAATGAAAATTTAAGTGCCACAAAAACTAAAAAGACCTGATTTTTGTATTTATCAATTCAACTTCCAGTTTATGCCAATTGCAATTTTATGCTTCAAAT